TTTTTTTTAGGAATGAAAGTACAGGATTTTCTCTTTCTAACAAGCACCACCGTTTCTTCAAAATCATTTTTCGAGAAAATCACACGTTCGAACATTTTTTCCCATAGGGTTTTTGAGCAGCACATGCGAGTTTTTGAGCTTTCAGCAATAATAACTTCCTTCAAAGAGCTTGTTGGGGAGGGGCGAAGACATTTTTGAAGACTACGAGATTTCCGCTTCCTTATGTTTCACAGTTGTCTGGAAGAAGCGTCCCCAAAAAATAGGTCCCAAAGAACTTTGTTTTCAGCCCCGAGAAGTCAAACCTTTCATAGGGATGCATTCAACTGTTCTTTATTCCTCAAGAAAACACCGTAATTTGCCTAAAACTGTCTCTCTGTGCATAATAAATCGAATCTAATGCGGTCTGCACAAGCAAGTCTTGCCCTCGGATACGCCACGCACGCGCCTGTGGCTGGCAGTCCTCGAAATTGCGACCCCCTTCCGACCAAAATGCGACCCCTTCGTTCGAACAGTTCGAACGGACGGTTGACCCTGGTTGAAGTCCCCCAAAAGGCTCGCCGCGCGGCGAATTTAAAAATCGCTATTTAACCTCACGACTTACCGCTACAGTACGCACTGCGACTCGTCCTTCGCCGCGTCTGCGTGACATGACCAGCTCCCTTATATTGGCTTCCAAGATGAGTTTTTGTTCAAAGCACTTATTACTTTCCTTACTATGGCACACGCATATTTTCACCCCTTTAGTTGCAAATGTGTAGCTTTCGCTGGGGTTGTTGCTTTGATCTGTTATATATTCCCAGAATATGGACTGGGGCCACTGAATTTTCCTGCACAATGGCAAAAATCGACAATCATGCAAAGAGCCATGCACTGCCGTATCAATGCTTCTATTTTTCGGTAGGTTGCGCATAACAAACCGGTTCAGGGAATGAATGGCCTAACGAGTGCCTTAGGTGGTGATCTAACCTCGAAGTTCGTGAGAAGCCTTATCAGAACTGTTAAAGAGCTGTCATTTGTTCAGCTACATACTACTATTAGCCTCTCGAAAAGACGCCTTAATTCCTTTATAAATGTGACGTACTGTTTAGACCTGGACCACAGTTGAATTGATACATGGCCAGTGTTCCGTCAATGAAGAAGGCCTGAAAGTGCAAATCATTGAGAAAGGAAACTGATTTGATGGCATTTTTCAGAGAAGAATGGAGTAATGGTGAACTCGCAATCTTGAAAACAGATTGTTTTCAGAAGTTGCTGAACTCATATTGAACATGCTAGGGTACGAAAGTTATCGCTTCCTCGTTCAACCCTTCCAGCTCTGAATTTCTTCCATAAGAAAAAAATTTTCTTGCTGTTGTTTATTACTCCTAAGCACATAAATAATCCTATAACAGCGACCTCTAACGGGAGCAGCAGAAGTATTCTGTTGCGTCAGTAATGCAGACCTCTGAAGATGATCGTCGGGAGTCCTCTTGCACGCTAACAAGTCATGTATAGAACATCTCTGTGGATTTCCTGATAAAATATGGGACTCAAATGCTTCATCCTCCCCTTGATGACGAAATAAACTCGAGTTCACGCTGCCTAATGAAGCTCCATCTTCGTAAGAGGTCATTTCTTTTATAGCGTCACCAGCAATTATTCTCTTTTAGGTGTATCTCTGCCGTCATAGCGCACGTAATTTTTCGCCACCCTGTAGAGTATCGTTCGAAAACTACCGCAGAATCTTTGTACAAACTGACTTCTTAACACGTTTGACGACAGCGTGACGCGGTTAACTACGTCCACTTTGCGACCTCTAATGGACATTGTGAAGCGTCACCCACCCTAACCATCCCTTTTTCTTTTGCGCTCGATGTGCGACTTATTCCTAAGGCTTTTGTGCTTATTCTATAGGGCATACATTAGCATACTTAAAAACCACATGGCTCACAGAAAGAGCCAAATATTCTTTAGTTTGGCAACGTTTTCCAGACCTTACGGATATGTTTGTTCAATTCATTCCTCGTTTTCTTTTCAATAACGTAGACATGTTGATAAAAAGGAATAACAGAAGCGAATACAAACCTATTCGTATGGGAAGATATGTGTTTTTACTGAAACAATCACGTCCAAATTAATTTTGGACACTAAAGGGAAATCAGGTAAAATTTCCCTTTTCATGGCCTTAACACGTCATTTCGGTCAAACTTCCATTACTGTAACTCCTGATAAGCTAGACAGATCGAACATCATTGAAAACATTTCATCGCATCTAAGTATTGCGGATTTACAACTTAAAATCCATGGATTTGGTGTGCGGCTGCGCTCGCAAAATCGCTCTTGTCCCACGCGGTGCAAAAGCACAAAACGCGCGATGTCGTCAACGTCAAAAGATGCTCGTGGTACGGGGCCTAATACCCAATCAATTTCATTTCCATTTTTGTAACACTTTTCAAGTAAAAGCATACATTGTTCAAGTCAGTTTGCAAGAGCAGGTTCTGGATTTGAAAGCATCCCCGATCGTTGCCCATACACCCATTGAAGAATTCCAGCTGACTGAAAAATTAATGGATGTGTACAACGGTCGGTAAGACATCAATAGAGTGCTAAAAACGAACTTGCACACGTTCAGCATGTTCGTGGTGTTTCCTGGTGTGAGTCCCCACTTATATAGAAACCAAATTATACAACACCGTGTAGTCCTGCAATTTGGAATATTATAATTTGGAAAACAATGGCCACGATTTCCCTTTGACCCTTCATGAATTTTCGAAACGGTCGGTTCGCGCTATTCGAACAAGGGGGTCGCTTTTGGGGGATTAAATGGCCGGAATGGGAGTTAATGCAGGCGTTCTAGGGGATTGTGTTCGGACGGGTTCTTGGAGAGTCTGGTGAAACTTTGAAAAGTTTTACGAAGGAGGGAGAATTAGCTACAATTGGTGATTTTTGCACTTCCTGGATACCAAATTAGCACCTTGCTCCTCCACTCGGAAAAATGGGCGTAGTAGTGTGTCTAGTGATCTCAGTACCAGTACTGTAGAAACAGCCATGATGGTAAGAATGGCTCCGTAGCAAAGCTCAGCTCGGCTGCGCAGAGGCGTTCGCGTGTTGGTGACATCATTTTGACGTAAGAGTTGCAGCGAACGGAACGGGCAAGATAGCCGCGTTATCGACGACATTACGATGCTATCAATCGGAATCTACGCCAGCTAAAGAAAAAACAGTCATCTCACGCGCCCCGTTCTGATGATTTATATATTGGGGTGTTAGTAAAATGCTACAACCATCTCTTACTAACATCGAGCGAGCGTCAACGACGCTGCTCCGCTTTCATCGCCCCTCGCGCCGCCTGTGACGTCACCAGCACCCGCGCACTCGCGTCCGCGCCGCCGGTGAGCTTTTCTTCCCCCCCCCTCCCCAACCCCGGTGAGGATGGTTAGGGAAACGGTATTGACTGAGGGAGTCTGCTAAGAATTAGACTGAGGATGATGGTGGGAGGGGGGGGGCGGGTTGTCGCGTCGAGTCCTCCTAGGAGGGAGTGTGCTGAAATTTTTGGAAAGTTTGCGAATCTGATAGTGAACCTCTTCAGGTAGCATCTGGCGCAATAGCCACATTGCGCCGGCATTGTAATGAATGCAATCTCAGATATCCTTGAATTCTTTAAGACTGATAGAACTTAACAGATTGGTAGAGTTCAAAAGAAATCACCAAAATCATACTAACCTTGAACATCAACGATGACATCGTACTATTCAATCCTACACCATCGGAAAGAAGCGCCTGACAGTACTGAAACTGCTTTGTTCGGCATCCGAACTGATCTTGTGCAGTGACTGCTGACACTGAATTGCGTACCATTGAAATCTCGCTCGGTATAGAATGTTAATGAATTAAAGATTAACCTCCTAAAAGTAGAAGAATTAAATCTGCATGACGACAGGGCAGCCCTTCGTGACGCTTCGCGTGCTGTCTCCCTTATCAGAGGCCATAAAAAGCCTCCCAATATCGAGACCTTGTCGAAGTTTCGCAAAGGCTCATTGCAACGTAGGGGACAGGCACTAGTTTGAATGCTTAATGAGATGAAGGTGTATGAAAAACGATGAAAGGTGTGTAAGGGTGGAACTGCCCTTTAGTGAGTTTTAAAAGGATATCATGTGCAATGGGAGAAAGAGAGAAAGCATTGCCTAAGACGATTGCAAAAATGCCTTGAGTTTACAGAGTATTCTACCGTGAATCATGTTCGTCTAACGGTTACATCGTTACTGCTTCCGCTCATCTGGAGAATCAGAAACTTTGTTCGTTTAATGACTTCGAGGCGAAGACTGCGGTCAGAAGGCAGCCCATCAAAACTGAAGGCACGCTTCGCGATTAGGGCCGCGGCTAAGCCTTACTCTCTCTGTGGTAAGTAGGCAGGTCGGACAAGTGTTGATGTCGCGCCCCTTTTGCCGCTTGAAAGTGCGCGACAAAGGCGCAAGCAGCTCGTCCGAACCCGCAACTCACACCTTCGTCCGCAAGCCCCACCCTCCGCTGTCGGTTGCCACGTGGCGCTGCTTGAAAAGCGCGGGCGCATTTGAGGCAGCGGTTCGTACTTCTTTCTTTGGGTTTTGCGACCCAATGTCAACGGCATTGGAGAGCATCTAGTATTTGTTCATGGAAACTCGTCCAACGCGCCCCTTCTCTATCCCAAGGTGGAATGCGGCTGAAATAGGGGAGGTCTCTGTGCGGGGCGTAATCGGTGGTTTCGTTTGCTTTCCTTCTCTTTTCCAGACCACCTCCCACCTCTAGCTTCATAACTGAACGCTTTTCCACACCTATTTTATCCCGAATCTTGCCTCACCGAATCCCGAGGGAGCGAGCGGTGGTGGAAATGAAAACTAGTGGGAAATTGGCTTTCCGACCGAGACATGGAAGCCGTTTTCCTGCCCTTTGAGTTTCCGCATTATGCATCTGTCTGTTGAGGCTGCTCCTGTTCAACGCTAACGGCCTCATCTCTGCCGTCTAAACGGCTTGTCGCTTGCGGCGAAATGGTAAATAAGCGGTGGGTCATGCGCGTCGAATTCGCCGCGGAGGAGGGTAAACCGTATCAGTATGGTCGCCGGTACTATCCTGTGAATTGCTTGTTCGGTCCGCACCTTTAAGAATCTGCCAGTCTTCCCACTAAATATGCTCCTTCTTTCGCCCTCCAACCTCATCTTGGAATACTCCTCTAAAAACTTCCTTAGGTGCAACGAAATTCGCTGGCTTGAATTAAGGGCCACGGTCCTCCTCAATGCTCAGCAATAGCGGGAATCCAATGTTGCTCTTTCGGAGAACTATTACAACCTGATCGCGTCACTTGATGGACTCTTGGGTCGCTCACGGCTGTTCCGAAAATGAAGAAATTTCACTATGTTACTTGTTCCATGTAGAATGGCAATCTCTTTCTGACACAAGGTCTACTCATATTGAGTTTCCTGAGCCAAATGAGGGCGGTGCTCTACGTTTTGTCGCCACATTACTCTTCAACACAAAATATAATAAAATTGCCGATCTGGCATTCAATCAGCGTTTACTCAGTGATTATCCTGTGCTGATGTCATTTTGACCGATGTAGTGGTGAGGCGGCAGAGCGGGTTTTTAACCCCACTCTTTTTGTCATGAGATCCTTTTCCAACTCTAACCCTTATCAGCCTTGCCAGATGTCGACACTTTTTATCATCCTCTGTGTCTCGTTTCCACCAACAGAGCATACCAGCTTTCAACACTGCTTTGCAAGCGCCAATCTCGTATGAATTGGATAATATAACGTCGACGCCCCTTAGCAGGTCTATAATTTTTCCATTACCTACTACCACCCACTAGTAATGTCGCGAACTCTTATATAGGTTGTCCCATAATTAGTGAATCACTTTACATTTATTGTTATTAAAAATCCAAGAAAAATTGGTGAAGGCGTGAAACATGTTTTGCGAAGTAGCATCCACATTATCCTACCTGAGCATTACTCGGCCCATTTACATGCTGCCTTTCGTGGCTGATACTTCAATTTTTCTGGAACCTATTTTTGAGCTCCCTTCTTAATCACTTCTGATTAGGATCTCTTCAAACGCCCAAACAACATAGTGAATCAAGTAGCAGGTAGGCGAGGACACACTTATTCAATCCACGGTTCGCTCTCTCTCCGGATTTGGCTTTTCCATTTGAAGATGACCCACACTTCAACTACCCCTCTACTGGCAATCTTGCGCTGCTCTACCCAGCGCCACTGAGATTGGATCTGGACAAAGTAGTCGCTATTTGTCAGAGCGTATCCGACTTGTTCAGATGATGGAATGTAGGCATTTCCGTAGAGTCGTAAAGATTTGGAAATATGGAATTTGTGTCTCACATGCTCTGCGCCCCGAACATCTGACATCACTCATGTTTCTTATTGATTTCCTAGAGTTAATTTCAGTGATCCGTCCTGCATATTCACCAGTTTTGTAGACTGGGTGGAGTGTGCTAGCAAATCCACCAGGAGCAGTAGCCTAGCTCAAGCGATTCGAGTTCTGACGCAAACGTCCTTTAAAGCAACAGTTCAGGAACGGTTTCGCGGGAAAAAACCACCAATAATGAAGTTGTAGATGAAAACCAGACGATTAATGTATGAAAAACTGGAAAAAAACGTCGGGGAGGGTCTTAGACAGGTACTCTCCCTCTGCCGCTCAGCAATGGATAAAGACGCACGTTGGACGAGTTGTCTGAACGTGCCCGCTGTAAACGCGCTCCATTTTTCAATCAATTTTCCCTGTGGTCCCAAAACGAGCACGATTGCCGACGCGTCCAATGACGGCCGGCAAGGGGGCGGGATTGGGGAAATCCCCAAGAACACCCATGTTTGAGGGACTTTCCACCCTGTTTTTGAGTTTCTGAGGTAAGTTCGTTTATTATTTCCACTGCATATGTTCTTCACTAGGGCTCGTGTATCCCTCAGTAGTAGTGGCATTGAAATTTTCGGACCCTCCCTGAACTGTTGCTTTAAATTTCACACTTATAAACTGTTTGGTCGAACAACGAAATAAACCCCTGCCTGACACAGCCGCCGCGTAAATACTAGGTCAGCAAAAAAAGGCAAACGTGGACAGCACAGTGGCAACGTGTCCAATTTGAAAGGCAAAGCAAGACAAAGTCGGCTTTTTTTTCTGAGGTCGTTCGACCCACCTTGGGTAGATTATTTATAAAAAGTTGGCGACTCTCAGGCTAACAGTTCTTTCAGCTTCGTTGTGTAGCTCTATCCTCGTGCCAGCTAACGGACAACCTTACTGAGCTCTAGCACTCTTCCCCAAGAGCAAATTTTTACGCTAAACGATAAAGTGATACGTACACAATACTCGACTTCCAAGTAATCTTCGTTCAAGATCTCCTGCAGTTCCAGAGGAAAGACAGCGAACTAAATTCCTCAATAGGCAATACATTATAGATGACAGAGGTGTATGTTTGGATGAGCAAGGGCTTTATATAAAAAAGAAAAAAATTTGAATCCAAAAATACTCAAAGTGATTCACTGATTTGGGACATCTCAATATTATATCGCCTGTTCCCACCGGTAGGAGTCGGAATCTGTTTTTTTATCGTGTATACTTGCTTGTTCTGCTTCCACTTGTTCAGCAGCCGGTAGAGATGCGAATGACAAAATATAAGAGTGAGGCTTGTATAGAAGAACATCTTATTGCAATCGCGATATCGAAAACAAGCCAGTGCAAGCTCACCCACAGTCGCTACTCGAGAAGCTACTAGCCTTCTATCAAGGTTAGAAGCACACAAGAAACAACTAGAAAATCGTCTAATGGTTGTCTAACAATTAGAAAATAAGATTTGTTAGGCACGGCTAGAAATATTTATCGACAAATAAACCACACGTTGAAGCATTTTACCGATTGAAACCTTTATATACAATGCTACTACCGAAAAGTGAGGTTGCAGTGGATCACTAATATGTAATCAGAGGTTCGACCGTGTCCCATTCACCGCACGTGCACGTACACGCCAGATATCCTGAAAGAAAGGAATATGTAGCAACAAGGGAGCCCACTGAAGTTAAGCTTCACAGAGATTTCGGTTCTCAACTTAAAGAAAGCGATTACGATAAAAAGGGAGCATCGGGAAGCATGTGCACCGCACGAATCAGTTACTTGGTTGCCAGGGAAGCGAGATGTGGCGCTTTCACAACGAAAGGTGCGCTGGTTGCTGAGCAGGACTTCGAAAGCGCTCCGCCCGCCCCCAAAAGCGATCCGCCCACTAGTTTACTTGTTGATTTGGACGAGCTGCGTGGCCAGCAGCGGCGCAAATGGAGCATCTCGATTGAAGCGTGGTTTGGCATGGTGCCACCAAACGCGTTGCGGTGAACTCGTTCATACGTCCACTTTCTGAGCTTACCTGTTCATGAGTGAAAACCAAAGGGGGTCCCGTTTTGCGTTTTCTTGACGGATTTTTCTGCTTTTTTCGCTGCTGGCGTACCATTGAGCACCACCACGTCACACTAAACCCTTCTTGAATTTATCGTAATCGCTACCTTTAAGGTATTCCGAAACTGCTGAGCTCATATAATGCCGCTACTGCTATGTTGTCCCGTAAGCAGCGTCTTTTTTAAAGAATTTTCTGCTGTTCCTATGCTTTTACATCATGTATATACCATTCGAAAGAGAATTGTCTGCTCTACAAAATGCTATGTTCCCTTCCACCTGTTCCAGGGTTTTCAAATTTTAGGCCTGCGAAATGGGAGGTCCAGCCGACAAAAATTGACCAAACCGACAACTAGCTCTAACTTTATTTTCCCAGAAATCAATCAATGATGTACCCTCTACTTACTCATGACCTCTTCTGAACATTACCATTAGGTTTCCCAACAAGTCGCGTCGCTCCTTCTCCAGACCTGGTTTTTCAACCAGAACTCGACGGTCAAGCACCATCACTTGAGATCTAGGTCCAAAATTTTTTACAGCCGAGACACCGAAAAAGCAAAGAAATGTTAGAAAGGTCCAGACTAACCGAAAGGCATTCAACTTCCCATGGAACTTTCAGTTGAGACCCAGATATATCGGTAGAGCTTCAAGCGCTACAAATAGGAACTAAAACTGCAAAATGAAGCTGCCAAGGAAACCTGTCAGCGGCCAAAGTGGGTGAAACTAACGCGTCACTTGTCAACCGTGCTAGA